ATAAATGACGTCTCAACCATTACTACGCTTGCCATATCACACTGAAGATTCCTGGTATTGTGCGAAAGGTCTCAATGGCACAGGATATGGCAGCTATCGAAATGTTGACATTTTATTTATTATACAATTCTCTTTGCTTTCGCTCAGAAATTTTGATTCATAAACAAAACAAAAATAAAAATGTATCTTTTGATACCAACTTGGTTACATGTTGATTCATTTTTATAAATGTTAAAAGATTAGTCATTCTTTTAGTTAATCCCAATTTTGCGGTTAAGTTGTTTAAACGAATACAGGAAGACGTTGACAAGACACTTTGATATCCGGTAAACGCTGACACTTTGATATCCGGTAAACGCTGAGACCTTCGTATATTTAAGTTGGGTATTATTTTGTATACGAAGTTTCATTATCTGTATGTTTCTGCGTATAAGAAGAACGGAGAACCCAAAAATAGGATATCAGAAGACGGAGTTAAACCATAGCAACTTATTGGACACAAATATTAAATTCATAGAACCTTGAAAGTTTGATTCTTAATCTGGTTTTCTTCCAACTGCTGTGCATGATTTTATCAGACTCATTATGCACTTTGTAGAACCAGGTCTTACCATACTTTAAAACAGTCAGTTATTGCTTAGTTTGTATATTATATACTTTCCTGGTAAGTTATACGCTCTGGGAGTTTGTGTATTGTATAATTAACGGCCTTGTAAGAGGGACTAAGTTTTGAGTTCTACTCACTTGTCATATTTCTCTAACCAAGTATGGATATTTTTGAAAGACATTTCAGATTTTCGTTTATGAAATTCTGAGATTAAAAAATTCAGACACTGACAACAGCGAATTAGAGAATAATTTTTTATATTCTGTTCAAGCCCATTTACACAGAATAAAACCTAGAGTACACATTTTACCATATTTTCAGGAATCATTCCATTATAAAGTTATTAATATGCCTTTTTTTCGTTCCAGAGCATGACCGGGTGATTAGGGCGCTCGCTCGCAATCTGAAGGTCGCGGGTTCGAATTCCCGTCCCATTAAAAATGCTCGCCCTTTCAGCGGTAGGGGCATTATAATGTGACGGTCAGTCCCACTATTCGTGGTAAAAGAGTAGCCCAAGAGTTGGCGGTGGGTTGTGATGACTAACTGCCTTTCCTCTATTATTTCATTGCTAAATTAGGGACGGCTTTACGCAAAATTCAAATCAAACCAATATAAACTTACCAATATGCCCTTTTCTTCACCACAAATTACAACAATTGAATAAGTTTGAAATACTCTTCAGGGGCTTTTCTGATCTTATTTGATAGCAACTGTGATGAAACCACAATAATACAATCCTGTGCACTACTGAAATATTTGTACTCCAGTAATAGTACTGGACATGTCAATTGGGCATTAAACAAAGGAATCCCTAATCTCTAAGGATACATATGTCAAACTCACCATTGATAATATAGACCTGTTATTTTTAATCATTTGTGTTTTTGTAAAAAAAAGACTCTTATGTTACAGAGCTACTATTTAACTTTAGAGGAATATTTATGTTTCGAAGCACGTACAGAAGGTTAAGTGATGGAAAATAAACCTGGAACGATACAGAAATTATAGTATCAATATTATTTATATTTGCGTTCTGAATGTCTTTCTATTTTAACCATTAGACAATTTCGCCCATAAAAATTTCCTTTCTTAAGCCTTAAATCCAAAATATACCATTATCTGAGAATATGTTTACCTGGAACATTTCATTAACTACTTAATCTTACAGACACATTTCTTTAATGGGACATATAACAAATCAGTATAGTACATTACATTCTCTAATTATAATTTGTATTATATCAATATTTCTTTTGAATTGATAAGAAATAAAACTGGAGTGAGGAAACTACTTATTCGTATCTGTCATAAACTTGTCCCTCTTTTCCTTGATGGAAGGATGTTTTATAATTCCTTTATAGTTGTACCTGTTATAATGTAATACATTACCTACATTCTGTAATTAACAAAATGGCACATTGACACCACATTGGTTTGGACTAAAACTTCACAGGCAATTTATTTGTGTCACATTTTACCAGCGTAAAGAAGAGATGTTTATAATAATAATGGTTTGGGGAAAATATATCCTCTTACTACACTTTAGTTAGCAGAAACTAATAGATTTTTTTATGCCAGAAATGAAGTGTGCGCCATCTAGGGACAGATAACAACAAATACTTCTAATGATTAAAACAATTGCTTTAATTCTTATTTTTACATTAAGGGTAGGAGGCCAGTGAAGATGGAATGATTTCACCTGGATGGTACAATTACCCTGTAGCATAGTGAAGAAGCAAGGTTACTGTATGTACGTACAATTGATGCCCACGTGCCCGGGTCAGAGCAATTAATAGAGAGGAGGTCATATGTATCCTTGGCTTTGAAGGATGATACCACGCATACACATACAGCTCCAGGCTCAGCCCCACTGAAGACTTGAAGGAAAAAAGACTGTTTGTTTTGATAATTAAGAAAGTGGTGTTATTAAATTCTGACATCAATAACATGTACACAGATTTGTCAGTTTCGTAAAGACTTCAATAGCTTAATATATTTAATATTAATTTAGATAATTCTTTTTATTTATATATCTATTTATTTTTAGCGAAATTATTTTGTCAGATATCATGTATGTGCAATGAAATGTCCCAAAATGTCGTTATTTACGAACATTTTGTGCTTCCACCTAACGAAAGAAAATAAAACTATTATGAAATATGGAAATAATATATATATTTAAACTAAATTCGCCGCTAAGTAGTAGTTTTCCTTTTAACAAATAATGAATTTTTCAAGTAAGTTTAATTTTTCACAACTACTTATTTGTCTTGAAAATATGAAGCTAACAAAACATACGTTGACGTAATTTATAGGAAGAGATATATGTGTGTCTAACATTAATGACTGTCAACAAACCTTGAAGAGTATGTTAAACAAAAATCTACAACTATATTATTATTAATTTAAGTGGAAATATGAGTGAGAAAACTAGAGCATTAAGTGTAACTTATCATGTCAAGTTTACTACATTAAAATCACAAGTATCATGTTTATATTTTGGTATAATCTAAATAATTAAACAGAACAATGAAGTATTTGTTTTGCTTTACTTTGAAAACTTTCTAGGATTTTATTATATTTATTAATGTGAGAAACCTTTCTTCCACATATCACACAACATTTTCGCCAAAGAAAAATTTAGCAACCCACTTTGAATATCCAAAATTTTGGATGATATAACTATATCTCAATGGTCTTTATTTTCATATTAACACGACTGTTTATTGAGGTCAACCATGTGATACAGGATGTTTTGCTCACATTTTCCCGTGTGTTCATAAATATATTAATTTGATATATTAGTTTACGTGATACAAGATTCTATATTTTCAAAGTAGATTCTATGATCCTAATGATTAGAATTGTGATTATGAACTGAACTTCTAAAGATTACGTAACGATATTAAAGAAAGTTTCATTCATGCATGTAAATTTTTTTCTCATTTGTATAACTTCTTTTTTCATGTGTGTTTCTCATGATTGCTTATCAAATTATTTACACAAATTCTTTATAAACATATATTTTTCTATTAGTTATAATGACTATAAAGTCACATACATTATTTTTATAGCATCTTTAAAATACATTTTGATTTTCTTATATTACATCTTCGCTTTACTAAGAATATCAATAAGCCTATCACTTAACAAAAGCAAAATGCCCAAGAATCCTCTTGTTCTTTCATAGAGTTGAGACCTTGCAGCATGAGGTACAGTATAGCACAAAACTGTAGTAATCTTTTAACGGTATATAAGTTTTAAGTTCTTACTTTTATAAGGCAATATTTTAGAAAATCCTGAATTTTCCCTACTGTGAGAAATGTGACATTTTTTCTCTAGGCATTCCCTCTTCTCTAATTTATTCATCCCGTCTCCAATACGTACGAAATTTAACGTAAATTACTTACTATAATATCTTCTTTGCTCGGACAAAGCTTAATTTTCATAGCTTTCAATCTTGTTTGGTTACAGAGCCATCAAATATAAAATCAGACCACTCTTTCCATACCATACTGTCATATGCTCTCTTTCAGGATTTTATAATAGTTCTCTCTTATGTTTAATACTATGTTATTTATAACCAATAGAAAGCCAAGATTTTCATATATGAAATGACGTATTGTATCACATTGTTTTCTGAACAGAGAATTGTCATTTTCTCTGTTAGTACAAACTTCATTGCCACGGGAAAGATAATGATTAGTTTGGATGAATTTGTAACGTCTCTTGTTGCACAGTTAGAAAAATTATGATAGTTATGGGACATGGCCTGCTTTTTGCATGTTTTTATTCTATGTTCTTTTGTGCAATATTTAATTAAATAAAAATTGTTTAGTGCACTAATACCATTAGTATAAAAAGTAGGGTCATCGAAAGTCGACAGCTAAAAAAAGAAGGCCAGGTAAATACTTAATTTTTTGTTTTTCATGTATATTATTTATTTATTATTATAAGAGTAACTAAAATGTAAAAATAGGACACTCTTTAGAGTAGGTAAAGTTGGATACGGTAAATTAATTAATAATATAATAAAAAAATGTCTCGAGGCATGCATGCAAGCAGCTCGGAGTAGCTTGTCAGTAATGTAATTTACAACTTATAATGACGCGAATGGTAGCTGGACATGGTTCAAAGGGCAGTAAAACAATATGAGTTCAAAGCTACTTAGGATAAACAAGTGTAGAAAGAAGAAAGATAACTTAGATATATTTCGATTCTTTTTGTGTTGTTGGGTTTTTTGTTTTGTTATTTGTGGTTACGAGGTCGGTCAAATTGACCAACCTTGTATAGAGTTATGGTAGATACAATAACAAATATATATATATATATATATATATAAAGGTTTATTGAAAAAGAAACGTTTGAAGTGTATTTAGGAGGTTTTAGACATTACACAAATGAAAAGCAAGTTAACACGAGAATCACTTTGCAAACGGACTAGCCAAAAAAATGGCCCAATATATTCACGGGCATATATTTTTTTAGTTTATGAAAAACACTTCACTAAAAAATTTGATTTTTATTGTATGTAAAAAACTTGTATTGTCTACTGATAGTCTGCCAAATTTTATAAAGATACACATACCATATTAAAAGTTAGTAGCATCAAAGCTATAATGAGCACAATCAGTCAATTCGACCAAGCCCGTGTAGAGAGAATTAAATATTGCTTTCCTATAAAACGCTTTACACTTTGGTGTCAATACATTAAATATAAAACGATTTGTTCGAAAGGATATTAGAAAATCGTGATACTGTGCTCTTGTTTATTAGTGTTCTTACAATGCAATACGTTAACTCTACAGGTAAGTTACTCTGGTGTTTTAAGGTTTAGGATAACTCGACTTCTGCTGTGTAAACATTTATTATTTTTAAATTTCTTAACAAGCTTTTAGGAGCAACTTATGTATTGAAATAAGATATATTCATGTTTTGCATTTATTTCCAAACGTTTTCCAATACAATATTGATTGTTTTTGTGTCTTCCTTAATTTGTCGGTATACAGAAGCTCCTGCATAGCCATTTTAAGGCACAGATCAGGCTTTTCTCCTTCTTTCAAAGTAAAACTAAATACATTATCGTAGAAAACTCCGGTTTCTAAACTTGCTTGTGTGTGGTTATTAATATTCATGCCATTTATACAATTTTGATAACAAATCTTATTCCACATTCTCACATTTCTCACTTCTTGTTCCATATTCTCTCGACCAAAGTCTTCCACCAACTTTTCAAACTTTGAAGCGAAATACTGGTAGAGTTTCCAGTCCCCTCTGTTGAATTCAAGAGCGTGTCTTTCAGCCTCTGAGGAAAGTTTATCAGAGATCGAAGCTAATCTTTTGTTATGGTGCAAGAACACGACATCCAGGATATCCCAGCATAAAAGTTCCTTCAGAAGCACTAAAGACTCTTCAAACCTCTCTGCGATTAACACGAAATCAAACCACAATTCAACCTTTTTCACGGCTACATCAATAAGTTCTTCGGTCTCCCAATCTTTTATTTCAAACCCCAAATCATAAAGCATTTGATTCTGCCCAAGTTTGTTCCAGATTCGACTACTGGCAAGAGAATCCCATTTTTCTGGGGTTTTCAAGAAATCTTCGAGTTTTAGACCAGTGATGTTTTCAAGACTATAGTAGGAATATAAGGACTTAAGCTGTCTAACTGGATGTCGGAAAATAGTGATGTATATGGTATCTGAGGGCATTATTTTCTTAACCTCTCTTAAGTCAAACCTAGTATGGTGACAAAAAATGTTAAAACCCCACGGAGGAGTAAGGTCTTCTGACAAAACGTGCTGCTTTAACTTTCTTTCGTAAGAAATATAGTTTCCTGAAGAAGGTAATACGAAATCCAACTTGTGTTTCTCACCAAAACGCATCAGAAGGTTCTGGACAGTTGAACTAGCGCACTTGTGCGTCTTGAGGAAGAAGATGTTGGTGACCGGATGACAGGAGGCACTTCGGCATGGTACTTGACCTTTGATCTCCAATCTTGAAACAACAAACAAAAACTTACGCTAAAGAATTAGTAAAACTACACAGAACATCGTATTTTAATAGATTATAGTACCAGGTTAGAAGTAGCCACACAATACTAAACACTTCTAATTCTCTCTTCTGGTCATAAAACATCGAAGAGTTATTTCATATCTACAAGAAAATTCAAACTGGTCTCACTTATTTCATGTTTACAAGAACATTCAAAGTGATTTCATTTTGAGTTATTTCATATCTACAAGAACATTCAAAATGATTTCATTTTGAGTTATTCATGTTTACAAGAACATTCTAGTAGTGTCCGCCCTGCGGAAACAAGAACAATTATTCTAGTAGTATCCGCCCTGTCGAAACAAGAACCATTATTCTAGTAGTATCCGCCCTGTCGAAACAAGAATCTTTATTCTAGTAGTATCCGCCCTGTTGAAACAAGAACCATTATTCTAGTAGTATCCGCCCTGTCGAAACA